TAAAAAAAAAATAAGTAACCTGGTTGCCTTAAAATTTTAAGTTCATTGAAATGGAAAAATTGAGTTAATACAATGAAAGAGATTGATTTAATCACCAGAAACTCCAAATATTATGTTATCTGAACTACATAAATAATAAATTATTATTAAGTTGATTTGGCAAAAGAAAAAATGTTGTGATTACAAATCATGAAAATATTTTTTTACAGTGTGTACATTTTCAAAACTATTAGTATAAAACTCCAAACTGATCACACTTGTAACACAACTTGTCATTCTTTTAAAAATCTCATGCTTTCATTCTACATAATCATTGTATCAAAGCACAAGATCATACGTTTAATCACTGAAACACAACAGTATGATCTTCTTTCAATAGCAAACAATGCTTTATACATATGTTTAATGTTTTATATATATGTTTAATAGCAAAGATACATGTTTCAAATAACCATTGTTGCTAAAATAATTACAGTAATACAGGCTACAGGTGCCACATTAGAAAAAATACACATTACATTACCTAACTTATGTAATTGAATACATAATGTGTGTAATAGTATCTATCATGTTATGAAATGGCCATTAGGTTTTATGCTAGAACAGAGTTCGCTGGCAATATGGTAAAGTTCTCACTTTGCCATTGAATGATATGTATATGAATAATATACAATGAGTTACAGTATCACATGGCATATTATCATGTAAAACGTTGTATTTGATGTCATCTGTCATGCTTCTACTGATCAATCTGATGTTATACCGTCATTAACTGTTTCCTCTCGCTTGTATTCCATCCTGCTTTTCACAATCTCTCTCTCTCTCTCTCTCTCTCTCTCTCTCTCTCTCTCTCTCACGCACACACATGTGCATGCACACATTTTGAACATAGTGGTTATCATCTAAGATAAATCACTTATGTAAATATATTTTATTACCACTCTAAAAAAAATGCTGGGTTGTTTTAACCCAATTTTGGGTCAAACATGGACAAACCCAGCCATTGGGTTACATTTTTAAATGACACTTTAACCCAATTTTTGAGTTTGTCCATATTTGACCCAAAATTGGGTTAAAACAACCCAGCATTTTTTTTTTTAGAATGTACATATCGGAAATTGGAAACAAGTTCTACTGTATACTAAACTATTTCTATAGAATCAGTACCTACACTCTAAACAATGCTGGGTTGTTTGAACCCAAATTTGGGTCAAATATGGACAAACCCAAATGTTGGGTTAAAAATGTCAACTTTCACTTTCAACTGTAAATTTTTTAATTGCATTTTTAACCCAACATTTGGGTTTGTCAAAATTTGACCCAAATTTGGGTTGAAGCAACCCAGCATTTTTAGAGTGTAGAAACCTGCTGTACCAAATAATTCATTTATTTACCATTAAATTCAGTTGGTTTAAATGATAGACACGTGTATTAAACTGCATGAGAGGAAATGAAAATCCAAAGTTTGTTTATGTTTATAATGTTTACATGTTATATTCCTTTTTTCGCACTGCTGTCCCTTGACTCCCCTCGGAGTGGTGTTAATGTATGATAGTGATTTTAACCCCTGAAACTGAGTCTGATTTATCTTATTCCATTACTCCCTGATCTCCCATACCTGTCATCATATGTTTGTGTTACTGCACTTATTTCAAAAGTGCCTTTGAAGAACATGGCAACTGAACAAACACAGGATATCTTACAGGAAACAAAGACACCAGGAGCCTTAGAATAATAATGGCAAAAGGAAATATTAATTCCTGACACTAACATGTGCTGATATGCTGTATTTGCAGTCACTTTTTCAGTTTTGAGAAACTCTGATTTAACATGATTTTGTCTTCGGTGTCAAACAGGGGTGGAATATCTGGAGCATGTATGAATCCAGCTCGGGCCTTTGGGCCAGCGATAGTTTCCGGTCACTGGACGTACCACTGGATATATTGGGTGGGACCTTTGACTGGTGCTTTGGTCACTGTCAGCCTTGTGAGGTATCCTTGCAACTCACTTTTTCTTCATTAAGTGTGTCAGCTTAAACAATATATGACGACTTATTTAATTATATCCATTTATATTAAAACGAGTTGATATTTGATACAGGTTTTAATTGTTTAAAGCATACACTCTTAAAGCATGCTGGGTTGTTTAACCCAATTTTGGGTCAAATATGGACAAACCAAAATGCTGGGTTAAAAATGTAATGTAAAAAATGAACCCAACGGCTGGGTTTGCCCATGTTTGACCCAAAGTTGGGTTAAAACAACCCAGGATTTTTTAGAGTGTAAAACTTTTCATCTTTTATATGCGAGGATGAGTATTCTGATCATTTGCTTGATTCATTCTAGGTTGATAATGGGTGACAAGAAGATTCGTGTTATTTTCAAATGATGGAGATGAAGGACCTCTGAGGATCTCATGTTTCAAGCTTTTTAAATTCAAGATTACTTGTAAAGCATTGTATGATATTGTCAAACATTTATATTAGTGCAGTTTTATAAACTTTTCTGTTTTCTGATGCTTTATTGTCTCTTTGACAAATGTATTTGTTGTTTTAGTTTTTATAGCCTTCCATTATGTATTCTCATGTTTTATGTTAATAAGCATAAAGTCTTTTGTTAGATACTGCCTGAATGTATTTATTCACTTTACAATATGTAAATATGTAGCACCCTTATATATATACGTATATATATATATATAAACACACTCCTGGGCCAAAAAATAAATAAAAATTGGGTCAAGTCAAAAAAGGCATAATATTTAGTGGTCTTTTAATGGTCTTCACACCGATCTAGATCATCCCCATGCAACTCGTGTTTCATTGTGATTCATCACTCCACACAACTTCCTATATTCTACCAAACACTTCATTCTGTCTTTGATTTTTTTCTGAGACAGCAATGGCTTTTTAAGTAGTGCATTTGCTTACATTTAATCAGATTCCTGACTAAAATAATTTTTGGTAAAGACACTTAAAAGCCATTTTGTTTAGCCCAGTTTTATATGAATAAAATATGGACAAACCCAAATGTTGGGTTAAAAATGTTATTTCAAATTTTAACCCAACTTTCACTTTCAACTGTACATTCCCCTTAACTGTCACCCCACCCTTTTTGAGAATGGGGGTTAAATGCTCTATTCACACTTAAATGGTTGTAATTCAAGAATGCCTTGGAATATATACCCAAGTTTGGTCTTGTTTTAAAGAAAACACTCAGTAGATTATTGCTGAAGTGAAAACACTTCAAAAAATGAAAGTATGAAAAAGTTATGGAAGTTTTAATTCACAGTAAATCAAATATACTGTACTATATATTTTTTATTTTATATAAAATATATATTTTACAAAATATTTTTACTCTAAAATTACTATAAAATCAAAGCCATAAATCTAACCAAGTTATGTTCCAAATTTGAAGTTGATATCACAAAAATTGAAGTTCCCATGAGATTTTGTTTAGGCGTAGTACCAAAAATAGCCACCGGGTGCCATTGAATTCCATTGAATTTAGTTGTGTACATTCTGCCTTAACAAATTAATAAATTTCTGTCCAAATATCAATTTTGTCACAAAATTTGGAACCTTGAGACTCAGACCTTTCTGAAAATATGTGTTTTGTCAAGATTAGAAAAGGTTTTGATCATAAATTATGAAATATAAGGATGCCCAAAAGGGGAGGAGCCTCATAAAATAAGTACCGTTTCTATGGTAACGCAACGTACCATTATAAAATGGTTTTCACAGGATGAATTATGAGTTTATAAGCTTTCAAATGATACCTAATTTATGATAACTACTAAAATATGTGATATAATAAAAAAAGGCGATAAAAAATATTATTATATTTTAGAGGATAATATATACATATATATTATAATTTTAGAGGATAATGTTATACCATACTTTTTATTTTTTATTGAAAAATACTAGATTATATGTTTTATTATGAACTTTTAGCATAAAAAAAGAAGTTTCAATGATTAAAAGTGGGTGCATCAACTTTTTGTGACAAAGGTCAGACCTCCTGTTATGATGCAGATTTTTTAGGTGCACTCTTGTCATAAATTCATTAATTACTCTTCCTACATAATTTTTAACACAAAACAGGGGTCGAATATTTAATTAGAAGTCTTAGACCTTTCCAAAAATATATAATTTGTCATAATTAGATTAGGATTTAATAGAAATATAGTGAAGTAAAGTTAGGCGTCCCGGTACCGGGACGGTGACAGTTAAGGGGTTAAACCAACCTTTTGGTTTGTCCATATTTGACCCAAATGTGGGTTGAAACAACCCAGCATTTTTTAGAGTATATATATACACACACACACATACACACACAGTGGTCAAAAGAGATGTCTGGAGGGTACATTGGTTTTTAATCACCATCAAAATATGGAAATATTTAAAATAAGTATATTTTTAAACATTTTAAATATGAGGAAGGAACAAAACTCTAAACTTGGTTAAGGTATTTGTCTAAATCTTACATACATATTCTTTTAAATTTAGAAATTAAAGAAAAAAGGACTCAAATATATATTTATTAATAAATAATAATAAATAAAACAACATATCACATTTCACCATATAACATGCTCAAAGTTCACCTTGAAGGATCCTTTATTATGCCATTTGGGTTGATAGCATTTACAAGGTTAGGGAGTTATCACACACTTGACACGCAAATCAATAACAGTTTTTTCCCCCCACTATTATATCTGAGTTATTAACACAGAGTGGAAACTGTCCAAATGTGTAGCCACTTAAGGGAAATGGGAAAAAACATTCATTGATCAAACTCTAGACTGAAAATATCTGTGCTTATACCTCACAGTTATTGTTGAAACTTTCCAAATCTTTTCATTGTCTCCTTAAACTTGGTTGTACAGGACTGGCTGCTGAGTCCTTCAGTCCTATGATAATGTATCAGTCTTTCAGGGATATAAGAGTGATTTATGGCGGAACAGGTCAAGTTGGCTCTTTTATAATAGTGCTTCCCTCTGCCACACAGTCACAAAGTTACTCTTTGCACTTGAGGGTGCACAATGCCTGTAGAGAAGCTAGAGCTCAAAGAGCTGGACAAAACGTTGCTGAAGAAGAATGAATCCTCACCCAAACCTCAGAGCAAGTATGAAAGAATAATCCAGCCATGTGTGGCCGAGCTGGTGGGCACAACGTTTTTTGTCTTCGTTGGCTGTGTGTCCGTCATTGAAAATGTGGAGGCAGCAGGAAGGCTACAGCCGGCACTCGCACATGGTTTGGCAGTGGCAGTGCTGGTGGCATGTATGGCAGAAATCAGGTAAGAGTGTGTACCTTCCCAGGTGAAAAAGACGTTGTATTAAATGTATTAAAAATATATTTGAAATACAAATAGTGTGTTTATAATACATTTGTATTTACAACATGCTTATTTAAAGTGTACTAAAAATGTATTTTATTGCATTTTAGTATATTTCTAAAAAGTATACTAGAAGTACATTGGTAATAAATATATATTTAATTACACTTTTGAGAAATATACTATAGAAAAGCATACTTTTAATGTATTTATAAAAAGTATATTAGTAATATATTGGTAATAAATGTATGCTTTATTATATTTTTAATAAATATGCTAATGATAATTATACTTTAAATGTATTTCTAAAAAGTATATTAGAAGTACATTGGTAATAAATATATGTTTAAATACACTTTTAAGAAATACACTATAGAAAAGCATACTTTTAATGTATTTCTAAAAAAGTATATTATTAGTACATTGGTAATAAATGTGTGCTTAATTATATTTTTAATAAATATGCTAATGACAATCATGCTTTAAATATGTTTCTAAAAAGTGTACTAGAAGTACATTGGTATTTAATTACATTTTTAAGAAATATGCTAAATACAAACATATTTTAATTATATTTAAAAATGTTTTACTAGAAACGCAATGATAATAAATATACACTTAATTACACTTTTAGAAATATGCTAAAAACAAACATAGTTTTAATGAAGTTTTAGTGTATTTACAGAAAGCATACTTGTTGCTAAATTAAAGTATTTTTGTGTTCACTTCAAGTTTAAAAATTCAAGTCCCTTTAATTCCCTTCCTAACATGAAGGCAATTAAACATGTATCGAAATTAATTGTATATTTCTACAAAGACTAGAAGTAGCACTTTAATTATAAATATGTGCTCAGTTAAGCTTTTAAGAAATATACCAAAAACTAACACACTTTTTGTAATACTACCAACACTTAACTCAATGCATATGTATTTCACACTTTATATTATGTGTTTTAGGTTTAACTTTTTTAAATTAATTTGTTATAATTATGAAAAGCACTAAAATTTGACTAACAAGTAATGCACTTCTATACTTCTGCATTAATTAATCAAATAGTCTTTTCCACAAAACAAGTGAATACCAGTACTTGCACACATCAACATAAAAGATCAGGTGTACATACTAGAAAAAACAAAATTTATTTCTTAAAGCTTGACTCTTACATTTGTTTAGCCAAAATGAATAAAAAAACTTGTTATAAAGCATGTTATGTTTATATTAACAGAGTTGTTTCTTTTTTGTGGATGTTAGTTAATATTTCCAGTTGCATTCATTTGGACCAATCAGAGCCAATCTTTTCAAAACAAGCTTGCCGGCAATTGTCCAATCACACACTGCCATTTGAACTTACATGTTGGGCGGGGCGCGGACAGCGGATACTGACTGTCTGTGGTATCCCATTATAGCTTCGGATATTTCAACAGAAATCATGTATTTTCCAAATTTTGCTTTGTTATTTCACTGACTCGGACCTGACCTAGTGAATGTGGATAGCACCGATCTAATATTAAGAGAAAACACGAGCAGATTACCAGGTCGTCAGCTCCCGCGAACAATTTAGCAGTGAAGAGGACAACGCAGAGGTGCGCCGCTACGACATGGACAGAGCAAGATACTGCCAGAAAAGATCTTACTTCTTGGTGGTAAGTTTATTAGTTTAAGTGATTAGTATAATTGGCTTTATTCTCACTTTGAGTTTAGAAAATATTTTCAGAAGTTGATGACGATGTTCTGTACGTGATTACTGGCGTTTCTGTTGATTTGACACTAAAGCGAGTTAATCCATTGACGTCTGTCAACTTAATTGTTATAACGTTAGATCTAGACAGTGACATAATACAACTATAAAAACATTGCACACTGTGTTTTCAGAAAAAAGGTTATTAATGGTGATTACACGACAGGCTTGATTGTCCCTAAGTAACTTCTTGTGTTTTAAATATTATAATATATTTTAAGCTCTAATAAAACTTTCACATTTGTGATATTTAATTCATAGTAAAATCTAATTAATTATTAGTAGGCTGTCAGTTTTCATGTCAATTCGATAAATAAATTAAGTTGTAATCACCAACTATAAGCTTTCATAAAACCAATTATTAAATATCTTGCACTGAGAAATTAAAACGATGTTAAATAATGAAATGAGAGTTTTTATATTTAATATTTAGCCTAACCAAGGAATTTGCACATTGCAAAGACATTTTTTTTATATTAAACCTAACCGTGAGTAGATGAGGTCAAGTCGAGTAAGTAGTAGTTGATCCTCTTGATTTGTAACTTTTTGTTGGTGAAAAACAACAAAAACAGTCAATAGTGTGTCATGTAGTTCAGCTAAGTAGCTAAGTGACCTATTATATATTAACACGTAATTGAAAAATTGCGTCCCCCGCATGAATATGTATTTTGCCTGATTATGCATTGAATTATGCAATCGCATAATCGTGTTTTCTCGAGGGACTGATTTATATGATTTTATGTGTGGTATTCAGCTTTTTTACATTTAATCAAGTCGTTATCAGCTGTCACCAACTTGTAACTTTCAATAGAACGTTCTGTCTTTATTAATAATGAATAATTACTTTAATAATAGGGTGGAAGTTACAGTAATGGTTCATTAAATATGTTTTACCATTTAAACAAAATACAAATTATATATGAAGAACACAAACTAGTGTTTGTTCTGCCCTAACTTTGTATAACATGCAACTTTATTTTTTCTTGTAGAGCTTCCAGGGATATTAGCATCTCTCAAAGAGGCCCTGGAGTCCATGAAACGAGGTTCATTCAGCTCAAGCCCAAGATCATCTGAGCTGTGTCTTCCTGAAACCTCAGAAATGGTTAGAAAATTCTTTATGATAAAGAAAAATCCTATTTGTTATAATAATTATATCTGACTTTTTGTGCATTAATACTTCAGTAAGTGTTCTGAATTAAGTAACAAAGTGACAGCTTTTTATTAGAATTATAAATGAACAAGTTTATACTAATGCTTGTTTTTTTTTATTCTTTCCAGATTTCCCTCGGTGGTTCTGATGTCCCCAAAAGAGTCTATGGCAGACTGAACAAGTCACGGACTTCTCTTTTTACTCACGACTTGGCCACTTTACTTTTTGCTATTGTATTTCACTTTGTTTGACTTAAAGGATTAGTTCACTTTAAAAAAAAAAAAAAACCTTTTGCTGATAACTTACTCGCCCCCATGCCAAGATATCCATGTCATTCTTTCTTCAGTTGAAAAGAAATTAAGGTTTTTGATGAAAACATTTCAGGATTTTCTCCATATGGACTTCATTGGGAACCAAACGGTTCAAGGTCCAAAAGGCAGTTTCTGTGCAAACTGTTCAAAGGGCTTTAAACGATTCCAGACGATGAATAAGGGTCTTATCAAGCGAAACGATCGGTCATTTAAAAAAAAAAAAAACAACGTTTAAGTTTTATAAGCTCAAATGGTCGCCATGCTCTGTTCTGTTATGCATGTTCATAACTCTCCTATTCAAACTCGTTCATCAAAATTAACAAATCTTTTTCTGAGTCATTAGGTTCATTCAACGAACGAAATGAATGAATTGACTTGAAAAAAGATTTGTCAGGGCTGCCAACTCTCAAGCATTCAGCACGAGACTCTCGCAATTGAGCCAATTCTCATGCTTTCACGACAAATTGACTGTTAGCCATTGGACCTTGAACCGTTTGGTTCCCAGTGAAGTCCATTATATGGAGAAAATCCTGGAATGTTTTCATCAAAAACCTTAATTCCTTTTCGACTGAAGAAAGAAAGACATGGACATCTTGGAAGACATGGGGGTGAGTAAATTATCAGCAAAAGTTTTTTTTTAAAAGTGAACTACTCCTTTCAGTTAGTTTATTTATTTATTTATTTATTTTTTGTTCTGTTTAATACCTCTGCAAATCAATGCATTTTATTTTAATGTATTTTGTTTAGTTTTCATAATGCTTTACTGATGTAGTGCATTAAAGTTTATCTTTCAAAGAGTGTTTGTGTGTTTTGTAGAAATATTTTTTTACTGGGTTTTGTTGAATTAAAATGTTTAACTGTATTTTTAATACATTAAAATATATTATTTTTATATTAAATGGTTTTTGGAAAAAATATATTTTTAATATGTTAATAGTGGGTCCTATAGTGTTCTACAAATACATTATTAATAAGCTGAAATTATATTTAAAATATACTTAGAACGCATTAATGTGAAGCTAAAATATACTAATGCTGTATTTCTAAAGTCGATTTAAAGTGTATTAAAATACACTTTAAATAAGTGCTATTATAATACATTAAATGTACTTAAAATGGTTCCATTTTAGCACAATTTAATATAATAAAATATATTACTATTACCTTAAAATTGAACTTAAATACATATTAAAGTACACTTAATATACTTGAAGTTGTTTCAATTTAGCACATTTAATACATATTTAATACGGTGCACTTAAAATACATTAAGTATATCAAAATAAGTACAATTTAAATACATTTCCTTTTCACCTGGGTTGTTACAGTATAATTATTCATTGTATAACAACATACTTATTGGGTTAGGATTATGGTTATTTATTTGCAAGTAATTCTGCATAATATAGCCCCTGTTGTTATTACTGTATGTAGCCTACATATGGACAAATAAAAACAATGTTACATTTTTTATATATACAAATTTTTGATTTGTTCAATTATTTTTGAGCGCTGAAGGGGGTCTGAAAATCCCTTTCTGAGTTTATTTCTCACCTCAATTGGTTTTGTTTTTCTCTCCATGCAGCGGATCACATTTCAACCCTCCGTTCACCATCGCTATCTGGTTGTGTGGTGGACTTCAGCTGACGATGGTTGTTCCCTACCTTATCAGTCAGATTATCGGAGGTGTGCTGGGAGCTGCAATGTCAAAGGTGTGAGAAAGAATACACTTAATACAACAACAGAAAATAATATTGTTGGTTACACAAAAAAGTGCTCAACAGAGAATGTATTTTCAAGGTTATGACATCCCACAAGAACTACGTGAATGCTACCGGAGCGGCCTTTGCTGTTCTGAAGTCTGACGAGCAGCTGGGGAAGGTTGTGTTCGCTGAAATGGCCATGACATGTCTAGTAACCATGGTAGTCCTGATGGGGGCAGTCAATGGAAAGAGCAAAAGCCCCATGGTGCCCTTCATGGTGGGCTGCACTGTTATCATCAATATTCTGGCAGGGTGAGTAGCTATTGAACTACCGAATCTAGTAGGCTATACTATACCAAAATCAAACTTTTGACCAGCGAATGTCTGGGACTTGTTTTGACCGTCATTAAACTGCCACACCTGAGGCAGTAGTAGCTTATTTTGCATTATTTAAACTTATGAATTTTATTGTAGCTATATATTGTGCTCAGTTTTTGTCATTTGTCCAAAATTTCGTGTTATAAAAGATGAAGTGACGAGGCAGCTCAAGGCGACGAAAAATGCTGTGACACGCTCTTCTCTGCTCTTCAAAAACATAACACTATAAAGTAGAAACCTGGACTTGAGTAAAAGTACAAGTGCTCTATCAAAAAAAATGACTTGAGTAGCCTAGAAGCTGAAGTGCTCTTTAAGTAGAAGTAGCCTACTAAAGTAGGTTATTCAACATTTTTTGTAGGCTATAAGTATTGCAAGTAGTTTTTTTTTTTTTAATTCACTACTTTAGTACTTAAAGTAAAAGTACAAGTATGTCATGTAATTATTAAAGAAAGCAGTCGAAAGTTTGAATTAGCAATCAAATATAACGCGCTTTGGCGGGATACAAATTTGCTTTGGCGGCCACCAAAAAATGTCATTGCATGACAACCCATTACCCTATAAAACTGGCGTGTGATTTAGGCATGATGAAAGCCAACTTGCAACGAAAGATTCGTAAAATTTTAATAATTGTGTAACGAGTAGCCTAACTAGCAGAACATAAAAAAATCTAAGTAAAAGTAGCCTATTAAATTCATCGAAAATATTTACTGAAGTAAAAGTGGAAGTATGAAAAAAAAAAAAAAAAACTCTAGTAGAGTACAGATACAGCATTTTAGTAGGCTACTTAAGTACAGTACTTAATTAGTTCTACTTCGTTACTATAGCATACATCTCTGGCTTTTATATAGGGTTTAGTGTTTCTTGAGTAAAGAAAAAACACTGTATTTTTTCAAATAATCCGTTTTTGTTCAGTTCTTTGTTCAGTAGAGACGTCCAAACTGCGTGCAAGAGGTAGAGGTGAGGAGTGTGACTGAAAGTTTGAGGATGCAATGAATAGAGTCTGAACTTGAAGCTCTTTTTAATACTTTTCATTGGTTAAATATTTGTGAAACCCACAGACAGATAATAGTAATGATTTATAGGGGGTATAAATAATGATTTATACATTTTGTTAATAAATAACACACATACTCACTCACACACACACACTCCCTAATATGCCCATATGCGTAAATCTGGCCCAGAGAAAGGTCATTTTTATTTTTAAAAATGTTATGTAGACTACATAACATTTAAGCTTTGCTAATGCTAATAGGATTTGTATCTGTGTTAATTTATGTTGTTTTATTTAATAGAGGAGACGTCTCTGGCACCTGTCTGAACCCTGCAAGAGCATTTGGACCTGCATTGATAGCTAACCACTGGTCTTATCATTGGGTTTATTGGGTCGGTCCGATAGGTGGAGGTCTGATGGCTGCTGCTCTCGTGAGGTTGGTTTGCCTTGATATTAAATATGCCATATTTCCTTGTTGAGGTCTTCCATGACAAAAAAAATAAAAAATATATTTACAGCAGACTGTAACTTTATTATTTTTTTACAGGCTTCTGCTTGGAGATGAGAAGATACGAGTTATAATGAAATGATATTGGAGCACATCAGCATGCAAAGCCTCTCAATTCATGATGCCAGCATTACTTCTAAACACTCTAAATATTTCATGTCTAATTTGACTGAAATTGAATTTAAAACTGTGGCTTACTGTGCTTCCCTTTTAGCACAAATGACCAACCCTTTTTCTTTTTTTCCAGCAGATGTCAGTAAGTTGTCTGTTGATAATATTTCACATAAAATCTTTTATCTCTGTAGTTTTAGAATTTACTCAGAATAAAATGTATTCCATATTATCATAATCAATATTATTATCTCAAATTGGAGCATTTCCATTTAGCTTCAAAACAAGTTTCTGTGTAAACCATCAATCAAATGTCAAATGCAATTTTCTTATTATTATTTTCTTTATGTTATAGACATCTTATCATCAAAATCGATTATAAATACTATAATAAGAAGATGAATAATTGTAGGCTATATTATTATTATTATTTCCAACTGAATTATGTATGTTTTATTCTTGTTTTTTAATAAAAGAAATATGGGAGATCTAGTTTTTACAAGTTGTCACAATGACTATATGCATAAAAATACTGGGTTGCTGTATTTGCTGTATTAATGCTGGGTTCAGCCTTTTGGGCCATTTCATTTGGTGATTTTTTAATGATTTTTTTTACCCAGGTGCTGGCTATAACTCAGCTTTTGCATCATTTTTACTGACAATATGTTGGGTCAGTGATAACATAAAGCAGTGAAGGGGTGGTCAAAATCCCTTGCCTCTTCAGCATATATTTCATATATCCGTTTGAATGCTTATTTCTTTTATAAAATCAGTAATCAAGTATTCATTATCACTTAATAATACATCCATATATATATATATTCCTTGTGCTTATGCTTGTGACAATTATATTCTTAAATGCATGCTGATTTAAGTAACCAGCTTCTTGGTGCATTCCAGGATACCTCTGACATGTAGGCCAGGAACTGCACAAGGCCATTTGTCTCTGTCTCTGGTATCAGGAGAAAGGTTTATGGATCCTAAAGGCGTCGTGAACACATATGTCCAACACATAATGATCCTTCTCTGTACAGATGGTCAAGCTATATTGATCATTGCTATATTGAACTTTAATTGTTGTATTAAAATGTATTCTTTCTATTATATTTCTGGGGAGCAAATGTTATCTGTTTTTCTCCCAAACGAGTGAATGTTTTACCATTATGTTTTGGTACACTTAACTGATAAAAAGCAGCTCAGACTCTCTTTAGCCTTGATGGGAGCTCTCATTTGTCCTATGTGAATGCCATAACAGTGAAAATAATAGGGAAATATGGGATTTGGGTTGTGTTTGAGTGTTGAAACATAAAGGGGTCATTGAAGCCAGTAGTTCAAGGCACCATTTCTTTGTCTAAATCTTACTCCAGTTAGACTAAAGTTTAGTGTTAGTCTTCTAGATTGCAGGTTAAGGAACCACTGCCATTATTGGAGATTGACTGAGTTGTTGTTCTGGACACTGGCGCCCAGCAACCCAAATCTGTGACCTGGAAGGTCATTATGTGCCTCTGAGTGTCAGATGCACAATCGATGCTTTTGTCCATGTATATGTGTGGAAAATTATGTTTATCTATTTCTTAGCCAATGAGAATAATTTAACGTGTAAGCTGACGTAGCTTAGACCTTGAAAATGGTATAACTGCTGTGATCTTTGTAACTGTGCGATAAACTTATAAACTTATAAACTTTTCTTTCTTTTTTTTTTATATAATTCTGACTCCGGGTCTTCTTTCTTCATATCTGTTTCTGAGACTTTGACTGTTTGTTTACCCCCAACAGTTGTCTCTGCCGAGGCTGCTCCTTCCATTTTCTTTTCTAAATGTTTTATGATTGTCAAAAAATGACTTGTCATAGAATAAAAAATATTTTGAACTTTCCTTACAGAATTTATAGCCTATATTATTTAAAATGAATAACCTTCAATTTCATGTTGTGTGACACTATTTATATATATATAAATAACAACAACAAAAAACAGCATATTGTGTATACAATTAGTGTATAAAAGTTGGGTCAAAATAACCCATGTTGACCCAAAATGACCCAAATGACCAATGACCCAACCATGGTCGTTTTTGATCCAGAATTTTTAAAGTGTATTTCAATTAGCCTATAGGCTACTAAAGTTCTGTGATATTTGACCATTTTCAATGTAATTTTTCGAGACATCTTTTCAGTATAGCCGAAGTCTGTGCGTGCACGATGTTTGTTCTGCATGCGTCTCTTTGAGCGTTGTTGTTTTTTTTCCTTTTCAGACAATCAAGAGATCAGCTTGATGACCGTATATGCCCTATACAAGACATTCTCACGTGACTCAATGCTGCTCGTGCGTCTCAAGTTGAGTTCATTTAATTACTTGACGGGTTTTTGTCATTTTATTTTATTAATTTATTTTTTGTGCTCTATATTTTAAAATAGGGCTATAGGTTATTTATATTTATATATAAATTGTAGTGGATCAAAACCACTAAGCTAGGCCTACAATTTAAAATTCAATAAAAATCAAAGTTATTAATTCTGAACAATCCATAGCCACATAGGCTATTAATCATGCTTATATCGGTAGGCTATAATAGGCTATGTAAAGGTCTTTAATATGTTATAAGCCAAAGAAACATAATCAGTTGGTTTGTTTTAAATTTGAACATTGCATGTTGTGCCAAAATGTGAAGATCGAAATATCTATAAATGTATAGCCTATAGCTTGCCTATATTTATTCAGCAACAGGCATATTCAGTTAATTCCACACGGTATGATTTAGTCTAATCAGAGTTTAATGATCTAAAACATTTTCATTAAATTATAAAAATCTAACAGAATTCATATGATCCAATAATTGCAAACACATAGATTTAGTTTTGTCGCATGTAAGGGAAGAAACGCAGAAGTGTCTCCAGATTTGTTTTAATTGACATGTTGTTGACCAAATCGACGAAACAACATTCAAACTGCTTAACAAATATCAAACAGGTTAACGATATTTATCAGATAAAGCCAGGGCCACTCTTGCGAGGAACTTGTCCATGGCCAGGTGGACTTCAGGTGTGAAGTCATCAGGGAAGAGCATGGACAACACCACGAGAATGTTGTGGGCCAGGATCTGTTAAATTAAGATTTTCAATGATTAAATATAATGACAACTAAAAGTATGGCTCAATTATTGGTCAGACACAACAGTATATTAACCTTGAAGTTAGCAGGATCGACTCTCAGCTGGAAGGCATGCAGCTCGCTGAGAGTGAGCAGGCCACCGAAAAGGTCGTCGATCTTTTCAACAGCCATACCGAGTCCACCGAGGACCCTCTTTCCATGCTTCCTCACCGGGGCAGAGCCGGGGGTCAGGTCGCTCCAGTGAGCGAAGTAGGTCTTGGTCTGAGGGTAGACCAACAGCATTCTGCAAACAGAATGGGGTAAGTTCCAGTTTAATCAGACACGTAACATGGATCTCTGCACAATTATTTTTAACGAAATGGAAGAATTTGTCTTAGCCTACCTGGACAACGACTCATTGCCGATGTCTTCAGCCTTTGGGGAAATCTTCGCCCAGAGGGTCTTCACAGCGGCTTTGTCCTTAGGAGAGAGACTCATTTTGAATTGATGTCTGGAATGTCAAATGACTTACCCACCTAAATGTTGGTCCTCTTTTTAAGCGTTTGTAGTTGAGATGGGCACACCCAAGATACAGCCTAATTGCGTGTCAGATTGAACTCCTGCCAGTAAACATTGGAAATTGACTTGATGCCCATTTTCCCCTCCTCATTTTTGGGGTGATACGTGATGATAGCCTACTGTAGCCGTGTGCGCGCACTTGGTCGTGGGTCAGATGCCACTCAGCTCACGTCCGCATCTTCAAAACCCCACAACCTGATTTAAATAATTGTTTAATTTACTTAGTAATTTGGTTAGTTTCGTTCTTATGCAAGATACTTCATGTGTGTGTGTTTTTTTTTTTTTTTTAATATAACTCAATGCAGTTTATTTTGAGTGCTAATTTAGTTCTTAACGGTCCATCATGCACGCTAAATGCGCCACTGATTTTACTTTTATTAGCTACAATGTTAATTACAGTTTTCTTGGTTTCTGAGACACAATTCATGAAACAATTCCCCATTTTCTCACAACTATAAGCACAATACCTGAACTTCATAAAGCTTGTAAAAGCCTATTTCAGTCAAAAACATATTCTCCTATCGCCTCAGATGACACAAAACCGATCAAATACACAGACAACTTATGCACTATAGATTCGTTTATTATAAAACTGCAACAAAAACGTAATAAGCCTATTAAAAGGGTAATATACAGTAAATTAAAGACAGTAAAATACAACAGAATGATTTAAGATGAGAGGCGTGCTCAATTCCTTTTTAACCTGGTTTAACCTGGTTAAAAAGTTTAACCTGGGTGCTCTTAGGACATCTAGGAGACAGTATAGACAAATAATCTCTGATGACCGAGGCACTCCTCAATTAAAATGTCTTTATCAAACAAATGACATGTCCTAAACGGACCAATTTGAATTGACATGGAGCGTTCTTCGGGGCATGGTGAAACAGATAGAAAACTGGTCTTGATAACACACAAGTGGAAGCAAAACACACAGGTGCTGGCAATAGTGTTAAAGGTCCACAGGCAATTGCCAAGACACGTACATTTGTTTTCTTACAAGGCACATTAAATATTACAAAGACAAAACGACTCAAAAGCGAACTGAATCGTTTTTTGATTATTCTGATTTTCTTATTCTGAATTGATTTATAATCATTTATTTCATTTATTGGCTCTCAAATGTTTGCCTGTTGAATCGATAAAATGCCCACGCCCTTTTTATTTGCTATTTGGTGAGGCTGGATTTTTTTAACCACACTGTCAAAAACATTTCATTTTGAGATCTACGCAATTGAGAGTCTGTTAGAAGAGATAAGCAGAGTCGTTTTGAATGTAGCCTACGTGTATCATGTATGAATGCGATAACCAACAGCTGAGATCACGACAATAATTCATAGTAGCCTAAATAAAAGTCACGTTCACAACTGATTAGGAATAAAACAGTTACAAAAGGATTTAGGAATATTATGTTTTATCTAAAGACATCCTTTCAAGCACATTTTGTATTCAGCGTCATACTATGTTGTTTTTTTTTTCATGAAAGGGGGCGTATGTTATGCTACAAGTATTGTACTTACATTAAAACTTCTAGAAGATTGCAAACGTCCAGAATCACTACAAAGTCAGCGCCACCGCCATGCCCATGAGAAGTTTCAGCCAATCAAGTAAGCCCACTTGTATTGGCGATGGCATAAATAGTGTCGACAGGAGTGGAATGGTATGATTCTTATTCAAAACGGAGAAGAAAATCATAAACTGAAAACGGTTGTGTGGACCGACCAGGAGCGTGCCTACATCCACATTTTCAGCAAGCTTAACTATGAGGACGCTGGCCCAAAAGCCCTGCAGAGGTAAGGACCATGCCCAGTGCTCCTCATTCTCTAAGTTTTCTTTGTACAAGAACACTGTACCAATCATGATTTGTAATCACAACATTCTTTCTTTTGTCAAATCAACTTAAATCATTTATTTAGTTTTGATTTATTTTATTTTGAGTTTCTGGTGATTAAATCAATCTCCTTTATTGTATTAACTCATTTTTTTCAATTTCAATGAACTTAATTTTTTAAGGCAACCAGGTGACTTAATTTTTTTTAGTTAAACCAACAATATTTTTTTACACTGAGCATATACCCAAACTCGTACAGATGCAGTCAAACACTTTTTAAAAACATTTATCAACCAGTTTGCGCGACACTCTTTTGCCTCTTTTCAACGCGTTCTCATCCCAAAGCGCCATATACAACGCATTCTCACCCCAAGGCGTCACCTTTGACCATGCTTCAATATTTGACGTTTTAGGCGCCCTTTAGCGTCACTTAGATGACGCGATCCTACGGCGTCATCTAACTGACGCTAAAGGAAAGCGTCTGTTAGAGGACGCGGTTAGGTTTAGGTGTGGGGTGGGGGTAGGGTACACGCGATCCTAGGGCGTCATCAAACTGACGCTAAAGGGCGCCTAAAGCGTCAGATATTGAAGCATGTCCAAATGCTTCCCAAGGCGTCAGTTAGGTGACGCCTTGGGAGTGAGAATGGGCTGCCATATAGGACGCTTTTGCAAAAGCGTAAATATCCAACGCACATGGCACCCTTTAACGTCTAATGAGACGCTTCGGTTATGGTTAAGTTTAGGTAAGGTGTTGGGTAAGGGTTAGACCACTAGGGGGCGCCTTCTGCCCAAATATATGTGCGTTGGATATTTACGCTTTTGCAAAAGCGTCCTATATGGCGCTTTGGGATGAGAACGGGCTCCTCTTTTCTGTTTCAGCTGCTGGCCGACTGCCTGACAATCGTGATGGCAGCGACGATGGGTTCCTCTTTCACCGCGAAGGTGCAGGCTGCCTGGCAGAAGTTCCTCGCTTTTGTCGTCTCTGCTTTGAGCAGACAGTATCATTAAAAACTCTCAAATATGGGGAAATTATTGTATGTCTCCAATGCGATAAAGACGAATTGATAAGCACCCGACCATTATCCTAATATCCAATATTAAACGGAGAGTTCACCCAAAACTGAACAATGTCGTCATTAACTCACCCTCATTATTTATTAGACTCCATGACATTTATCACAAATAAAAAATATATATTTGTAATTGAGTGCAATGCTCATCTTGTTTGGACATACAGAATTGTTTGGTAGCCTAGCCGCTGCAGGCAGCTTAAAGGGATAGTTCACTTTGAAATTAATTTTTGGGATGTTTTAGCTTACCTCAAGGCAGATGTAGGTGTCTTTGTTTCCGCAGTAGTTTCAATTATAATATTATTAGGTCAAACCGTTCTTTTCTCTCAGTCATATAGGCTAATGGAGGTCACCACCTCAAAGAGCATGCACAGAGAAGTCCAAATTAAGCATGATTTAATGACTCGTAAATGTAAGTACACATTGATGGCCTAAGACACAAAACGAGCGGTTTGAAAACAAACAGTATTTATATCGGTTTTACATCTTGTAACCACAGCCACGTCCAAGTGATCTGAGGGTGCGGGTGCTTTGGTCTGCGCAAGCGCCAAGTGGTCTCTTCGGAAGCGAAGAAGAGTTCGCGAGAGTAGCCTATACACTTGTTTTCTTTTACACGGTTTAAACATTCCGAATAACTAAGCAGAAATTAGTACCATTTTAATTGGGTGTAATCTTACAATCTTACACGTGAGAGATCACTTCTGGTCACCCCCCTCCAAAAAAAAAATTTATTAATTAATTAATTAAATAAATTGTTGTAAGTTTTAATACTGAACATGCATATTTGTCACATCTAGACTGTCATAGTTAAAGTCCCACCATTTTTGTCGTTCACTTTTCCATAATCACACAAATGTTTCACATATTGCTCTTTCATTGCTAAACATCTGACACTGTCAAATGGTTGGCAGTTTCTTATCCTGATATAGCAGAAGTTCCTTTGTTTCATAAGATAATGACTGCCCATTCAACACTAAATTTTCTTTGTGTTGACCAGCTGTATCAAGTCTACAAAAAGGTACAATTTCAAATATCTGTTGGCAAATAGCTTTTCTGAATGCTCAACCAGAACTGCTTGTCCCACAGCAAGCCAGCTGTATTTTAACCGTCATCATTCAGTTGAATAAATGTAATTATTTTCCCAATGAGCAGATTTGTGCCGATTCTAAGTAATTTGAGTAAATGTCTTTTGAAAATAACGATTATTTAAATGGAATCAAATAACTGTAAATGGTTATATTGGAGTGCAGCATTTCTTGACGGTTTCTTTATGTATATTGACAAATGTACATCACATTGTTGATTAGTTTATTTATGTTAAATACATTATTTAAACCAAATTTTATATTCAATTCAGATAAATATTAAATTAAATATTAGGGTAAATAAATATTACATTTACGCCTAAATATTTTTTACAATAAAGTCGAACTGCATTTTGGATCTTCAGTTAGAGAATTTTAGGCTTTAAAGATTGCAACACATATCTTTTCATGTCTTGTAAGGCGTGAGGAAGGGAAGGAGCAGGAAGTGGAGATCATATCAGAATGAACAAAGACCTCAAATGGCCTTCGTGAATCGTGATCCCTATGCAACCTTCTTGTAGCCTAAGTCACTAAAGTTATGAAAACATGCGTTAACCTTTTTTTTTTATTTGAAACGTTAAGACAACTCAATGGACAACAAAATCATCTCAATAATTTATTTTTTTTTATTACGCAATAAACATGTTCAGTAAAAGAATCTTCTCGTCCAGTCCACGAATCTAATAATACTGCCTTTTTAGGGCTGATATAACAACACACAGGAACTTTTGCCAAACAGCTTGGATGTCTGGGGTGAAGTCAGTCCTCATGCGTCTAGCGATCACCACGGTCAGGCAGTCACCTAAGAGCTGGAAAAGAAGAGAGGGAACGTAAAGCACAGTTCCAACATAATGATGACCAACATGATAGCCGCGCATTGCTCTATAAGACACCAACCTGAAAATTGCCTGGGTCGACCTGCAGTTTCTCTGAGTGAAGCTCGCTAAGGGCACTGAAGGTTTTCTTGATATTATCCATGTTATTGAGAGCTTTCTCCAGTCCTTGAAGCACGACAATGCCGTGCGCCGCGATTTTTGGATTAGCCATGATTGCCTCCGCGTTATACAGGTTTCCAAACCCACCAAAGTACCGCTGAGTCCAAGGGTAGACGACCAAGCATCTTGAGATCAGATAATAAAGCAGGAACATTAAAGGCTGAAAGAACATTAAACAGCTGAAAGAGTTCATATTAAGGAGAAAAGGGAAGCAGGCGATAGAGAAAATATTACTTACCTCGTCAAGCTCTCGCGGCCCACCGACTCGTAGTCGAGTTTGGCGAATACACCCTGTATCGCAGCGCGTTCCTCAGCTGTCCACTGAACCATCGTGTCTCCAGGATTCACGGCTGGACAGATGTTTAAATAGGACTGCTGGGCCGCCGCCCACGTATATCAGGCAGATCTGTTCGGCCGATAGTCCGGAGAAAAAGGTGGCAGTTGACCGATAAACGGAGTCCATGCGAATAAACTGGAGCCCGATCTCATGAAAGTTCGTATCTATTGCACGAATGTCACTTCTCGTGCCATTTATACGCCAAAAATAGTTTTTTGCGTGTATATGGTATACGCGTTTTTCGCGTGCATATGATACGCACTTTATGGCGTATAATGCGCACGAACTCCCCTCCCCCCTAAACCTACCCAAGGGGTTTTCAGAGCATTTTTTTGGCATAAAAATGCCACGAGAAATGGATTTTCGTCACCAGAGTGTGAGGTTTCTTGTTCTTTATTTGTTAAACCTGAAAGAGCGAGTCCACTGTTTATGATGCATTTTTAGAGGTCTATAGTAAATGTGTTATTTTGCATTTAAAACATTCATTTAAATATGTTTTATTTAGCCATATATTCTATTGGGATTTATACCATAGGCCACTGTTAACATCAGAAGTCTCAATATATCCTATATTGTCATTGTATTATTGAAAATATGGGCAGTGGGATGTGTATCGGTACGTTAACTCCAATCTAACCAACATCCCCTTCATGGGTGTATTTATGTGCTACGGCACGGTTGTGGTGAAGATGGCAGTTCCGATGAGGTTTGATGATGTCAGGCCCAGAACCAATACAGGCCCAAATTCCTCACTTTATGTCGGGCGTATAATGAGTGACAGTGAAAGGCTGTCGGTGTTAATACGGGGCATGATGCTTCACGTGGGCGTGGCGCTGTCCAGACTTTAGTGCTGAAATCTCCGCTGAAGTTCAAAGAGAAATGTGACGCTATCCGTTGTGCTTCTTAACCATTTAAACAGTAGGCTTATGTGGGTCAGTTACTTTCTGTATAATGTCATAAAAATGCAAACCTTTAACAAAGCCCTTAATAATGTATGCCTATTATCACTAGGGAACAATATGTGGTAATAGCCTATGACCAACTTCATTTTTTTTTTCTTTTGACCAAAGGCTTACGTTACAAAATATTTGGACTGCATATAAAATGTCCATTCATTTGGATCAAATAGTTTTAACAAAATATTAAACGTGATTCATATTTGTCAACCACGCATAAATGAAATAAACCACATTTTTGTAATGATAAAATGAACGTCTTAAATGCAAAATTTACTATACTTTAGACCTCTAAAATTTGCAGCGTAAACAGTAGACTAAGGTTTAACAAATAAAGAGCAAGAAATCTCACACTCTGGTGATGATGGAAAACACTATAGTTTATTCGCATGGACTCCGTTTATCGGTCAACTGCCGCCTTTTTCTCCGGACTATCGGCCGAACAGATCTGCCTGATATACATGGGCGGCGGCCTAGCAGTCCTATTTAAACATCTGTCCAGCCGTGAATCCTGGAGACACGATGGTTCAGTGGACAGCTGAGGAACGCGCTGCGATACAGGGTGTATTCGCCAAACTCGACTACGAGTCGGTGGGCCGCGAGAGCTTGACGAGGTAAGTAATATTTTCTCTATCGCCTGCTTCCCTTTTCTCCTTAATATGAACTCTTTCAGCTGTTTAATGTTCTTTCAGCCTTTAATGTTCCTGCTTTATTGTCTGATCTCAAGATGCTTGGTCGTCTACCCTTGGACTCAGCGGTACTTTGGTGGGTTTGGAAACCTGTATAACGCGGAGGCAATCATGGCTAATCCAAAAATCGCGGCGCACGGCATTGTCGTGCTTCAAGGACTGGAGAAAGCTCTCAATAACATGGATAATATCAAGAAAACCTTCAGTGCCCTTAGCGAGCTTCACTCAGAGAAACTGCAGGTCGACCCAGGCAATTTTCAGGTTGGTGTCTTAGAGCAATGCGCGGCTATCATGTTGGACATTATGTTGGAACTGTGCTTTACTTTCCCTCTCTTCTTTTCCAGCTCTTAGGTGACTGCCTGACAGTGGTGATTGCTACACGCATGAGGACTGACTTCACCCCAGACATCCAAGCTGCTTGGCAAAAGTTCCTGTGTGTTGTTATATCAGCCCTAAAAAGGCAGTATTATTAGTTTCGTGGACTGGCCGAGGAGATTCTTGTACTGATGTTTGTTGAGTAATAACAAATAAATTATTGAAATGTTGTAACTCTTCAAAATATACTTGATTTTTTTAAATCTTTTTTTTCAACACTGAATTTAATCACTGTAAAAAAAATATTGTTGGTTTAACTTAAAAAATTAAGTAACCTGGTTGCCTTACAAATTTAAGTTCATTGAAATGGAAAAACTGAGTTAATACAATGAAGGAGATTGATTGTATCATCAGAAACTCAAAATATTATTTTATCTGAACTACATAAACTATTTAAATTGATTTGACAAAAGAAAAAATATTGAGATTACTAATCATGAAAATATATTTTTACAGTGCACGTTTAACTATTAAAAAATGTGTATTGGTAGCCTTCAGTCAACTTTTTTTAAAATTTAAGCGCAATATATATTTTCTTAGTCCTTTTACCGAAACTTATGTGCAATTTAAAATGTGTGTTTAAAAGCATGTTAATTAATTCCTTTGCTTTCCACACAAGAAAGTGTTTATTTTAAAGACGCCAAATATTTGATATTTGTGGGGAAAAAATCACTATATATTAAGGCAAGGTGTATTTTAATAAAAAACACAAAGCCATTTTTTCATTTGAAAGAAGATCGAACCCTTAAGTTCATAATTGTTTTAATAATTTAATTTATTAAGCTATTGTAAATGATGGACCAAACACAACTGATAAAAACACAGGTTTTAACTTTTTAGAAAAAGAAAATGAAATAGTAACAGGAATGAACACTTTGTAACAGGAATTAACACTTGGTTAACAGGAATGAGTGTCCATACAGTATGTGTGTATGAGAGAGAGTGTACATGACTGTGTGTAAGATTTCTGTTAAAGTGGAGTATACTATGCGCTAGAAGGAGAGAGAGAAGAAGAGAGAGGGAGAGAGAAAAAAGGAAGTTAAGACAAAAAAGGGGGAAAAAGAAAGCATTGCGGGTGTGTTTCACTTCTTCCACAATATGCCATGTTTCTGGCACCTAAAATATAAGAAAGACAAAGACAACACGTTTAAGTCAGCTCATGGTGGACTAGCTTCCTGGAAGTATGGTTCACATTGTAAAACAAATGCTAAGGTCTACATTATAAGTAATTACAACCTTAAAATTAAATAATTCAGGTGAATAGTATTAATATTTACAGTATTTAATCAACAAAACAGAGGACTACTCACTCCTGTTATTTTTCATATAAGCAACAGGACTGAAAGTAACAGGATTGAGTTTTTAAGCAAAAACTCATCAAACATGACATGTGGCCACAAAGCTAAACGTTATAGCATGAGGACACTGAGCAATACTGACTTACCAAAAGTTACAATTTTTAAAATAAACAAATAAATCTAAGGAATAAATTAGTTAACAGGACAGTATGTCGATATTGGGGGGTTAAAATGGGATATTGACGTTCTCAGTCATAGTTTAGTTACAATTTCATCAAATCTTCCCATTGCCTTCAGAACATCCAGATGATGCAACTACCTGATGAAAATGTGTATGGTGGAATATTACAAGTTTTTCAGAGAGGGGTATGTGTTAGGGCAACAGCACTGAGTCAAAACAGAAACACGACTGCATTTAGTATTTTATCTAAAATATTGGAAAAAATATTTTTTCTCATAAAAAAAACAAAACATTTCAATGCAAACAAATGAAGATTTCTGAAGGATTTTAATCATCATATTTCATGGTAAATTTTAGAGATAGAGAGTGGGGACATGCATAAAATGATATTTTTGTATGTTGTTTTATGTAGTTTAATGTTTTTAATTATACATTTTAAATTTGTAGTTAGCTTAATGTGCATGACATTCTGCTTAATAATAAAATGTCTTTCAGAGTTAAACTTCATGCAATTTTATACATTTAATGTCCTGGAGACAGAGGTGGAATGGCTCCTTTACGTTTTAATAAAAAAAGTTTACGCATTAAATCCTGTGGTGCTAAAGTTGTGCTATAATATAATAACTTCAGTGAAGGTTGCATATAGGGATCCATTTGAGGCCATTTGAGGTCTTTGTTCAATCTGATATGATCTCCACTTCCTGCTCCTCCCTTTTCTCTCGCCTTCCATTAAAAGATACGTGTAGCTGTTGCAATCTTTAATGCCTAAAATTCTCTAACTGAAGATCCAAAATGCAGTTCGACTTTATTGTAAAAGACTCTAAATGCGCTCAATAATATTTAGGCCTAAATGATTTATGCATCTGAAATATAAAAATGATTTTAAGTTATTTATTTAACATAAACAAACTAATAAACTTAATGTGATGTACTTTTTTAAGTATACATTAATAAAACCGGCAAGAAGTGTCTGCAATCAAATAAACCCATTTACAGCTATTTTTTTCAATTTTCGTGTTTCGTAGGCCTATTTTCAAAATGTGTTTATTCAAATTGCTTAGAATCAGCATAAAGCTGCTCATTGTGAAAACAAGTAAATGTAAAAGATTGAATGATGATAATGTAAATAGGTTATTTTGTATTTAAAAACAGTACTGAAATCATGTTTCTTTCATTTATACAAGACAAATATCAATCACACTTTATTAGTTTGTCAATACGGGGTGATCCAAATTAATGGACAATTTATATACAATCCAAATATATCAATTTTTTTTTTTTAATCTTTTACATATTTTTAAATGTTGGCCGAGAAGTTGGTCATCTTACCCCATCTTAGTGGTAATACACCATGAAGGTACCTTTTAAAGGTAGATAGCTTAGTTAAAGGTTCGCACTTATTTTGTAATTGACCCATATGTAAAGAAAAGCCTAACGGATAGCGTCACATTTCCCTTCGAACTTTCCGACAAGATTTCAGCACTAAAGTCTGGACAGCGCCACGCCCACGTGAAGCATCATGTCCCTTATTAAAGGGATAGTTCACTTTGAAATACATTTTTGATATGTTTCAACTTACCTCAAGGGCATCCAATATGAAGGTGTCTTTGTTTCCACAGTTTCAATTTTGATATTTTTTTGGTCAAACCGTTCTTTTCGGTCAGTCATATAATGTAGGTCTATGGTCACCACCTCAAAGAGCATGCACAGAGAAGTCCAAATGAAACATGATTTAATGAATCGTGAATGTAAGTACACACTGATGGCCTAAGACATGAAACGAGCGGTTTGTGTGAAAAAAACAAACACTATTTCTTGTTGTGCATGCTCCTTGAGGTGGTGACCATAGACCTGCATTTTATGACTGACAGACAAGAACGGTTTGACCTAAAAATATCAAAATTAAAACTACTGCGGAAACAAAGATAACTACAATTTGGATGCCCTTGACGTAAGCTAAAACATCCCAAAAATTAATTTCAAAGTGAACTATCCCTTTAACACCGACAGCCTTGATCCACGTGATCCATGTTTATTTATTTCCTTTTGCATTAGTATTTAAATATCAATTTCTCAACATGGAAATTCAAAGACATTTTAATAGGAAGCCATAATACTGAATTCCTTTTAATGCACTGTTTTAAATTATAAACAAACAAAATGGACACAAAAGAGTTGAGGGTGTTGCATGCCACAAAATTAGTATTTTTATTGTTGTTTATTATTGAATATTGCATTGCATTACACACAAAAGACACACGTAGGCTACTTCGCAAAACATGTATTATACATTTATTAAAGAAAAACTTTCGATCCTTCTTCGGAGGCTCCTCATCGGAACTTCTCGGCTAAAACAGCTGCGAATGCCGAAAGAAACTTGTCTATCGCCGCGTGTGCAACTGGTGTGAAGTTGTCACCCATGTGGCAGGCTAACGTCACGAGGATGCAATGATTGAGAAGCTGGAAAATGTCAAATAAATTACGTTAGTGAGTTAAATGAAAAAACACCACATAACATAACATCACGTATTAGGATAAAGCCTGTTGATGTGAACTGGATCAGTTTCATTAACACCTTGAAGTTCGTAGGATGTATTCGCAGTAGATAGGCGTGGAACCTGCTCAGTGGTGCCAACGTAGTAGCAAGGGTGCTTATGTTCCTCGCTCCTTCGGCCAAAGCCTGGACGATTTTCTTCCCGTGGCAGCGTAAATGATCTGAATTGGGGTTGATATCTAGATGAGAGAAGTATGTCTTTGTTTTGGGGAACGTTGTGAACATCCTGTAAACCGGTTAACAAGTGAGAAAACAAGGTCAACAAGACAAGCACAAGACCCCCATCTCCTCCCCCAGATTTCCTGCGTCATCATCACTCATGGGCAAATATGCCAAATATGACAAGACCATCAATCATTGAAAAGACTTTTGATATTAAGAATAGTGAACGGCGAACTAATTAAGGATCCACCAAAGAGCGTAAGTAAGACTTTAACTGGTTTAATTCCCAAAGTTTTACATAGTTTAAAGAAATGCAGTGATATTGGACACTGAAAAAGTCAACGCTGAGGAGTTTTAGGAGTTTTAAAAATATGCTATTTTTGTCTATAGAAATATTTGCCTCTTCTATTTGTTTGATATAAGACAACATAGCCTACCTTAAAAGAGCCTCAGATCCAATATCTTCCGCCACTGGAATCATTTTGTCCCATATCTGTACAATCAGCTCTTTTTCGGTATTCGAGAGCATTACGGTGTTGGTACAATTAAATAATAGGCTACTTTGCTATCCAAACGAGTTAGCTTCAGACCAACGCGAATAAATCGTGGGGTAGGCAACGATTTGACCGTTTTGCGATGCAGTTTCGATCACATATTAACCATAAACTCGGCTTATCTCGACTTGATAGCCTAAAATGCAACAAAAAAAGGACAAAAAAATCACACAAAATAAATAAATAAAATAAAAATGTAATAGAACAGTTGATAGAAATGTTGTTCCCGTCGGTCGCTCTCTTCAACTCACCGGCAAACAAGAGTTAATCACGTGAGACGTGAAACTGCGCAACGCTAGTCTGCTGTGCGTCATATTAGACGAGCTTATGTTGTCATGCCGGGATTCCTTGTGTTTTGAGTGACTTCAGTCATAGGCTATATTTTGCATCAAGTAATTATATCACAGTAGCCTACAATGCTCGATGACGAGTAAACTGTTTTATTAAAGGATACAATAAGCTTGTTGCACAGTAATTCAGCCTAGAAGCAAAATTCTCAATAATTCAGCCTAGAAGCAAAATTCTCAATAATTGCAATATGCTATAATAGATGTTTGTAAATAACATTGAGATGGTAACATTTAAACCTACTAATTATGCAGACGATTTACATGTAGCCTACACACAATATGCAAATGCGTTAATTAGTGTTAGAGCACTATTGAATTACTGTGAGAATTGTTTTTTAATTGTAACTTACTATTATCATCTCCTATCTCAAATATAGACCTACACCTCATAATAAATAAAGAGCAAACAGCTTTCAAAATATTAAAAACCAAGCACTGCCATACTGCCAAATGTCACTCAAAACATCAAGGAAAGAAAATGAAACTGTGAAGTGATTGTACATTTGAGGTTTTAAATGACTCTAATTTGTAATGACTATATGAGCATGCACTATTGTGATAGGGAGGGGCCATGCTTCTGAATCTGATAAGCGTCTCTATCAGTGGCTCAAGCTGCGGGCTGAAAGTGGGTGTAAGTTGAAGAGCTGGGTAATCAACATCTCACTCCTGCCAGCACACACACTGCAGCGTGAACTACCCATGACTCAGCTCAACTGAAGGACTACCTATTTACGTAATGGAATCCATATCTTTAGGCATATTAATAAATGTGCAATACCACAGGCAGTGCATGACTCTGCTCAGGTTCATTCTTGGTTTATTGTGTGTTTGTGTGAGGCCTGGTAAACATGTCCCCACAAAGATGGCAAAATGGTTGTTTTTTTGGTCCCAATGAGGAAAATAGCTTGTGAATCGTACTAAATGATGTTTTTTTAAATGTAAAAATGCAGAATGTTTTTTTTTTTTTTTTTTTTTTTTTTTTTTGTGATGGAGTTAGGGATTCCCCGAGCTTCAAACTTTCTCTGTCAAAGCCCTCCCTTTAAATTTTTATGTTTTGTTTAATTTTGTGTCTGTTTCGTTGTAGAAATTCTCCATTCCCACAACCTCAAGTGACATAATTATCATTAATGTTATAAAATGTTAGCGTTAAATAAACACCAATTGAAATAAAATGCATTTATGAATATTTTAATACAGCAAAGACTATTTTTGATTAAAACAGGGAGAAAAAAGAAGAGTAATAAAGGTTTTACGATATAAGGGATGTTTATTAAAAAACAGTGGGAAATGATGAGTTTGACAGACACGGAAAACTCAATTCAAAAAACAGGTCCACAGATGTTTTGCTCTGTATACACTGTCCTCTGATAACCTTGTGTCCTTAAAAGACATTCTCAAATGCAAGTCTTGAAAAATATAAAACTAATAAATTTATTTTGATTATTAATGCTTTTATGTCTATATTATTACTATTTCGTATACTGTGTTTCAACTGTTATGTGTCATGTCATACTACCAGTTAAGGGAGCATTACATTGATCAAAAGTGCTGTTAAAGATATTTTAGAGTTATGAAAGATTTTTATCTGAAATAAATGCTGTTAAAAAATCCCTGAACAAATGTAAAAAGATTTCTGAAGGATCATGTGACACTAAAGATGAATAACTGCTGAAAAAGGCTTGCCATCTCATGAATTTATTTTTTAAATTAATGTATTTTTGGAGTGAATGCAGTCTTGGTAAGCGACAAAAACATCTTTCAAAAGTTACCTTCTTAATTGAAAATTCTTCCTTCAAACTGAATTTAAAACAATGTACCATGCTTTCCACTAGATGGCAACAGCGCACCAAAAGCAAATGAATGTTCCAGATAGGCCAAAAATCTTATGCAAACCACTTTCTAACATACGTATATGGGCATACATGTATATGAGGAATATATGATCAACATGTACTCAGCCATTTATCAAAGGCTATGCTTTCAAACAATTGCATGAATAAAGCGAAGCATTTAGGTAAAGTGAGATAATATTAAACAATACAGCTGAATAAAGAAGCCAATGATTTGCCAACCACCTTTCATCTCTTCGAAAGACACAAAATACGTCAAACAGGATTACAATTGAATTATTTCCCACTGCTTTAACCCTATTGATGTGTAGTTTGCTTGAGCGCTCTCTGGTAGATCACACATGCCACCCACGGTCTAGTCTCAGCCTGCCAAACACTCAAGATGTGTTATATTGTGACTGGATGGCAACGCTGATAGATATTCACTGCAGTTTACATTAGATTAGAGGATTTAGGAAGCCCATGAGTCCTTATGAGGGCTGTATAGGGGAAAGGAGAGAGGAAAGCAACGTGAAACCTCAATGACTTTTTTAATCTTGATTGTTCTGCACATGAAACAAAATATTGGTTCTTTGAAATCGTGCCAAACGGAGGCAATAAATCACATGCATATCTTTCAACATGACTATCTATTCGCTCACCTCTTAGGCCATGTCATGTCGCCTCATCCTGTGAATGCCCCCATGAGGGCCTTTTAAACATTCATCATTCCATGACAGTTCATCCTCCTTCCCAGGACAAAAGTCTCAAGTGTTAAAGCAGTGCCGCAGACAGACATTGGGATGTGAAACTCTGTGGATGAAGACATCTGTAGTGTTATCTACAATGAGAAGCAATTAATAAGTAGGGCTACTAGTATCTAATGAATAAGGACTAGTATCTATTAAATAGACACTAGTATCTAATGAATAAGTACTAGTAGCTAACTAATAAATAAGCACTGATATCTAATAAATAAGCACTAGTAGCTAATGAATAAGTACTAGTACTTAAAGGAGTAGTTCACTTAAAAAACAAAAAAAAACTTTTGCTGATAATTTACTCACCGCATGGCATCCAAGATATCCATGTCATTCTTTCTTCAGTCGAAAAGAAATGGGCTCAAAGGGCTTTAAACGATTCCAGACGATGAATAAGGGTCTTATCAAGTGAAACAATCAGTCATTTAAAAAATATATATATAATAAAGTTTAAGTTTTATAAGCTCAAATGCCTTGCTCTGTTCTGTGATGCGCGTTCGTGACTCTCCTGTTCGAACTCGTTCATCAAAATGAACAAATCTTTTTTCGAGTCATTTGTTTCATTCAACGAACGAAATGAACCAATTGATTCAGAAAACGATTTGTTCATTTTGATGAACGAGTTCGAACAGGAGAGTCACGAACGCGCATCACAGAGCAAGACTATAAAACTTAAACTTAAAGTTTTTTTTTTTTTTTTTTAAAAGAGTGATCGTTTAGCTTGATAAGACCCTTATTCATCGTCTGGAATCGTTTAAAGCCCTTTCAACACTTTGCAGTTTGCATCAAAAACCTAATTTATTTTCGACTGAAGGAAGAAAAACATGGGCATCTTGGATGACATGAGGGTGAGTAAATTATCAGCAAAAGTTTTTTTTGAAAAGTGAACTACTCCTTTAATGAAATAGATATCTAAAAAATATGTAGCCTACTGTAGCATGAAAATAGAGATTATATAGGTTAATATGATTAAATGTTAAAACGGATTTCCATATAGTTAACATGAACTAATGAACCACTTCTACTGTCACAGTCCTCCGTCTGCACCAGTCTGTCTTGTCTTCAGCACTACACTTCCCAGGATCCTCTCGTCACCCTATCCCGTGTTCACTCCCTCATCAGCCACCTGTTCCTCGTCATCGTCATCTGTTTCACCTGTCTTCACCTCATTATGTTTGATTCTTCTGTGTATTTAGTTCCTTCTGTTTTAGTCAGTCTTGGTCGGTCGATGTTGATGTTACCCTTCCGTGTTGTTTATGTTACCCTGTGTTCCGCCTGCCTGTATCCTGTTATTTATAATTAAAACCTCTTGTATTGGAGCTTATCTGGACTCAGCCTGTTCCTTCTGCCTGAACCCGCACCGTGACAGATCGACCGACCTCCAAAAATGGATTTAGCAGCTGTACAACTTCTCCTCCTGGAGCAGGAGGATCAATCCCTCGAGGCCCACACACAGAGGTATTTGGACTTGGTACCTCATGTTCACTATGATGACACAAGCCTCTGTGTGTTCTTCCGGGCAGGCCTAAACGCTGAAACCCAGGCACGCCTGCCCGGAGACGGGCCTCGAGGGGACTTTGTGGCCTATGTGGAGTGGGTGCTGGTGTCATGTGGATCTCCCTTTACCATGTATGACGTCACCAGCCCCACTCCATCGCTCCAGTGCTCTTCACCGCTGGTTCCGTCCAGCTCTCCAGAGATTGAATGCTCTTCACCGCTGGTTCCGTCCAGCACTCCAGAGTCTGAATGCTCTTCGCCGCTGGTCCCGTCCAGCTCTCCAGAGATTGAATGCTCTTCACCGCTGGTTCCGTCCAGCACTCCAGAGTCTGAATGCTCTTCGCCGCTGGTCCCGTCCAGCTCTCCAGAGATTGAATGCTCTTCGCCGCTGGTTCCGTCCAGCTCTCCAGAGATTGAATGCTCTTCACCGCTGGTTCCGTCCAGCTCTCCAGAGATTGAATGCTCTTCGCCGCTGGTTCCGTCCAGCTCTCCAGAGATTGAATGCTCTTCCCCGCTGGTCCCGTCCAGCTCTCCAGAGACTGAATGCTCTTCACCGCTGGTTCCGTCCAGCTCTCCAGAGACTGTATGCTCTTCACAGCTGGTTCCGTCCAGCCCTCCAGAGACTGTATGCTCTTCATTGCTGGTTCCGTCCAGCCCTCCAGAGACTGTATGCTCTTCACTGCTGGTTCCGTCCAGCCCTCCAGAGACTGTGTGCTCTTCATTGCTGGTTCCGTCCAGCCCTCCAGAGACTGTATGCTCTTCACTGCTGGTTCCGTCCAGCCCTCCAGAGACTGTTTGCTCTTCACTGCTGGTTCCGTCCAGCCCACCAGAGACTGTATGCTCTTCACTGCTGGTTCCGTCCAGCTCTCCAGAGACCGTCCAGCCAGCGCCGGAGACCGTCCAGCCAGCGCCAG